CCCCCCCCCCAAACGGAAATTCTGCGGCAGCAGTGCTAATTACGAATTATGAAAATTTTACACTTGAGGGAACGGTGGTGGAAGGGCTCTGCTAGCTCTTGCTTTACTCTAGCACCTTCAAGTTTGGACTCATCAATTGCCTCGCAGAAAGCTTGTAGAATGCTTTGCAGAAATCAATCTTCTACAACAAATTTTACTAGCAAGATGCTCTCATCACAAAATTGAGCTTGTGCATATAAAAACCTGACACTCCTATCCGCAAGCAATGTAATAAGTTGACTTGAAGGTTGCGAGATTCTCTTGCAGGAACATATTCTTTAGGTGGAAACCTATTTTGGCCACTGGGGATCTCAGGCCTGCATTCTCGTTACACTAAGGTTTACTGACATTGGTATGTGTTAGAAAGGGGAAGAAAAACGCTTTTCAATGATACGAACAGTTTCGGTTTAGATGTGATTCTCTTAGAATAGCCATTTCAAATGCAAAGCAAAAAAGTTGGACAGGACTTATGCAGCACCCTAATACATTAGCAGTATTTAGTAAGGGGCGACCGGATTGGTGGAAGGAAGCAGGTGTCCAGGACGAAGTTGTCCGGAGTGGGCGACTACGTATGTTGCGCCACAGGTACAAAGAAGAGGACCCAGTATTCTTTGATCCAAAGGTGATGCTTGCTGACATCATACCTTGCATTGCATTTTTAGCCTGAAGGAATTTCGGCATAATTTTTAGGTTCCTGATGGCACTTCAGTAACTGGACCGCTGGGGCTAGATTCGAAGTATCATCATGACATCACTATAAAAGCCGATCAACCTGGACCACTCAAAGAATTCCAGGATAAGGTGTGCTATCTTGAATTGTTCGCCTTATCATTTGCAGTTTTCAGGTATGGAAAGGCTCCCATCAATACAAAGCAATTGCTGAAAAATTTGATATTAGCAAAGAACACCCTGGATTTGATGTAAACCCTTCTCTAAACGACTTGCTGAATAGTGGGTATTTTTCAGACATGAAGTTGCTCTGAAACAATACTCACTTGTTTAAGTTCCGAAATGGCATCTGGGCCGCAACGCCTTCGTACCCAACTCGTGGTATCACTATGGTCCGCGATTCTTCGACAAGCCGTTAAATGAAGCGACCATCGAAAAAGGCTTGGCCTGCGCCAAGTATGCTGCTTTGTTGAGTGAGTTACACGTGCTCTCCTAGCTTTTGTATCGTGAAATTTTACATGGAACTAGTGAACCAGCGATGTAAAGGTACAGTATTGTCGACTTTAAAAATCGTAGCGACGGTCTGCAATGCGGCCAAAGCGCGCCGCACGGCACTGCCGCTTTGTCGTGGGGGAAATC